AAAGAAAAAAAAAGAACAGCGGACAGAAAGGAAGGGAGAGGGAGAAAGGGAGAGGGAGAGAGAGAGAGGGAGAGAGAGAGAGAGAGGGAGGAAAGGGAAGGGGAGGGAGGGAGGAAAGGGGGAGAGGGAAAGGGGGGGCAGGTGGGCAGTGTTGTGGTGTCATAAGATGCTAACATTGTTTAACCAAGAAGTGGTTAAAAGTACGTTGGCCTTGAGGGAGAGAACCTTAGAATTACTCAAGGCTTTTATAAAGCACCTTACTAACAAGAAACTAGTCAAAAGACTCAGTTTGTATAGTGGCCCACACCTTTAATCCAAGCACTGGGGAGGCCAGTCTAGGTCACATAATGAGACTCTATCTCAAAAAAATGGGGAGGTGGAGGTAGGAGGTTTGAATTTTGAGGGCTGACCAGGCCAAACAAACCAACCAACCACACTCAGGGACCCAATATTAAAAAAAAAAAAAACTAAAAGCAAAAGTTCTGGGGAGGGGGGGAGGAGGGAGGCTGGGAAGGGATGGGAAGGGTAAACAAAGGAGGAGGCTGCAATGCTTGGTAAGAAATGTACGCATTATCCTGCCCATGCAATTGTAACCCCTCTGTACAGTATGTCCACAAATAAAATAAAATTAAAAAAAAAAAGTTCTGGGGATGTATGCTCAAGTAGTAAAGCATTGGCCCAGAAATTTTAACTCCAAATTCAACTCCCACCCTCTAACGACTCCATTTGAAATACAAAGTAAGGTTAAACACTTAGGAATTGTGTGTGTGCCTATAGTAGGGCTTGAACTTCAGGCCTCTAGCTTTTGCATGGCTTTTTTGCTCATGGCTGGCATTCTACCGTTTGAGCCACATTTCATTTCTAACTTTTTGTTGTTGGCTGTGGGGCTTGAACTCTGGGCCTGGGCACTGTCCCACAGCTCTTCAGCTCAAGGCTAGAGCTCTACCACTTGAGCCACAGCACCACTTCTGGTTTTCTGGTGATTAATTGGAGATAAGAGTCTCATGGACATTCTTGCCTAGGCTGGCTTTGAACCATGATCCTCAGATCTCAGCCTCCTGAGTAGCTAGGATTACAGACCTGGGCTACTGGCACCCAGCTCATTTCTAGCTTGAGTGTGGGCATAGGCCATGTACATGCGTGTGCAAATCCTGGAGCCTAAGTGATGTCCCTGAACTTTTTTGCTCAAGGCTATTACTCTATTGCTCTATCACTGCTCTAGTTCTGGGTTTTTTTTTTTTTTTTTTTGCCAGTTAACTGAAGAGTCTCAAACCTTTCTGCGCAGGCTGGCTTAGAACTTCAATCCTCATATATCAGCCTCCTGAGTAGCCAGGATTACAGGCATGAGCCACTGGCACCTGGCTTTGTTTTTCTGTTTTGCCAGTTCTGGGGCTTGAACTCATGTCCTGGGCACTGTCCCTGAGCTTCTTTTGCTCAAGCTGGCCCTCTTCCACTTGAGACACAGCATCACTTCTAGCTTTTTCTGAGTACTTTATTGGAGATAAGAGACTCACGGCCTTTCCTGCCTGGGCTAGCTTCAAACCACGATCCTCAGATCTCAGCCTTCTGAGCTTGGCTCTATATATTTTAAAAAGCTAAAAAACTGCAATGACCAAAAGTCAAAACATGTACAAAGAGCCAACCTGTCCTTGTTCTTCAAAGTTTGACAAGCACTTTGGTAATAGAGGGTAGGACAACTCATTTTATATGCAACCCATCTTACTGTTGTTCTGAAGATTGAGCCCAGGACTTCTCACATGCTAGGCATATACTCAACCACTGAGCCACACTCCAGCTCAAAATTTAATCAGCCTTTAAAATGGACACACTGAGAGCAGAGGTGATTTATTTCCCATAGTCTCCTCATAACTCATAAACATGTCTGGGATACACCAGATTGGATTTGGGAATAAAAAGACTGATTTGGCTGCAAAGTCACCCCATAAACATGGACCTTTAATCAACCTCTGTTCCTTTTCTATAGATTAGGGAGGCTAGAGGAGATGAGCTCTAACATGCCAGGATGAGAGAGACAGAGAACACAAGAGAACGAGAACGAGACAGGAGAACAAGTACACGTGCCCAGGCTTGACAGTGGGTTTGAAAGTAGGCCTCTGTAGATTATGCCCACAATATGAGCCACACCAACAAACTCTGCTCCAATGGGGGCTTTCACAGCACAGCCAGAACAGAACACTGCATAGCTTAGCTTTGTTCCCAGCACACACCATACACAAGAGTCGGCAACAGGAGCACAGCCTGGCTTGATTCAATGAGCTGTAATGACTGCAATTTGAGGTAGGCATGAATCTTGTGTTGGAGAGCAAAGAGCAGAAGAGATCAGGCTCATATTTGCTTGCCTTTAGGAGGCAGCCATGACCTTACCACACAGAGGAAAATTGGATAAACAAGTGCAGCAGCTCCTTTGTTTCTGCTGATGGGAATTGATACTGACACTGGGAGTCAAATGTGGGAGGGCCAGCCCAGGCCGGCTGAAGGCTACCAAGTAAGAGCACGGCAGTTGTCTGTCAATGACGTGCTGGATGGATGGGTGTCCTGTCAGAGCTCTTTTAGGTGAGATTTCAGAAGGCAAGATAAGGATTTTGTCGGTTAAGAGGACTAAGAACAAAAACTTAGAACTACAGAGAGGAGGATTTGATGAGAGAACAAGAAATCACTCTGGTGAAGTTAAACCCCCGGAACAAGAAATTAAGTTAACCTCCCCGCCCCCAATCTTGTCACCTATCTCAAAAACTTTTCCAGGGGCTGGGAAGTTGACTCTGTGGTAGAGTGCTTGCCTTGCATGCATGAGGCCCTGGGTTCGATTCCTCAGCACCACATAAGCAGAAAAAGCCAGAAGTGGTGCTGTGGCTCAAGTGGTAGAGCGCTAGCCTTGAGCAGAAGAGCTGAGGGACAGTGCCCAGGCCCAGAGTTCAGGCCCCACAGCTGACCATAAAAAAAAAAAAACTTTTCTAAACTAGTCAGCATTTTATAGTAGTTTATTACCCTAGTAAGTCCCCTTAAAGACTGTTTCAATTCTGACATCACTTTTGGGAGAGGCAGAGAACTGACAAACAGGAAAATCCTTCTTCCAGTACAAGAAATGGCCAAGTCAGAAAAGAGATAGTAGTCCTTCTTGACCCTAATGCAGTACCTCAATTGTCAGAAGACTCAGGCATTAGACTCCAGAGAAACACAGGATAAAGAATCTCTTTCCAGGCAAAAAGAGATCCAAGGGTAGAAAGTGTTTCAACAAAAAGCACATTACATGTAACTCTCAAAACCTGGGCAACTCTGATACTGTTACTACAGTTAGATTTCCTGGATACAAGATTTCTTTTCTACACCACCCCCCACCCCCCAACCATGAAACCTGTGTCAAATCTCCCCTTACAATAGGATAGGGAGTCAACAAAGAGAAAGGCAGGAAAACAAAAGGAGGAACATCTGAGGCAGGAAAGATAACTATAAAAATGGTAGATCAACAGCGTCATTTCTATATTGAGGAAAATGTCAGCTTGAAGAGCTGGGGAATCTGGAGTGGGCAGATCAGAGAGGAAGATAATAGAGTTGGGAGGAGGGGTAGTTGAAAGCAGCAGCAGGATACAGCAAATAGCAAGCAGAGGAAAAAAAAAATAATAAAGCCACAAGAGAAGCAGGCACTTAGCTTAATGGAAGTGGGAAAGCATTCTTGAAGAAAAAGGCTCCAGGCAGGGGGAAGAAGCAACTTAACCTTAGAAAGAAGGAGAAGAAAGGCTCTTGGGAAAAATAGGGCTCAGTCCACAACAAAGACACATTAGGCTGTGACAGTTGCTTAGAATGGTTCCCAAACCTTTCACTCGGCATCTCGTCAAAGACTTGTTCGCTAGACACCAAGTTTTCCAACCTTTGCATTAAGTCCCATATAGCCATTAAAAGGAGCTCGCTCCCCTCGGCGGGGCACTAACCAACCCATTTCAAAACTCACTTGGCAAAGTGGAGGTGTGGCTCAAACGCTAGAGCACCCGCCTTGCGCGGAAAAAAAACCAGCAAGAAGAGTGTGAGGCCCTGAGTTCAAACCCTAGTTACCAGCAACCAAAACCAACAAAAAGCACACCAACACCTCGCACGGCTTCCGTGTCGAGGAGGGAGGAGGCGAACTACATCAATCCCCACACATCCAAGTGTCCTTTGACTCACAGGAAGCAGCCAATAGGTCAGTCCACTTGTCCTCAACAACCGTTAACTTTAACTTTGCTCGAAATCTGACCAGCACAATGGGGTCCATCCACAGTGTCGAGAATGCTCCCCTCCCGGCCCCCCGAGGCCGCCTCCTGTAGGCTAGTAAGTCGTGTCTGGGACTACTTTGGGTCCGGCTTGGGATGGCGCAAAGACACCCCCCCCATCCCCAGAAGTTATTCCAAGTCTTCCCAAGGATACGCTTAGTCTTGGGGTATCTGCTACCCAGGGTCCCCCCATCTCCAAGCGTCGTGGGGAAGTTTTTCAGGGCTACCCCCGCAGGGGCCGTCCGAGGGAGGCGCTCGGGGGCCGGCGAGGGGGGCGGCGCCCCGGGCACCTCCAGGGGGTCGCCGGGGCCCCGGCCCGCGCTCCTCGGGACCCCCGCGTCTCGGCAGAGGCCTGCGGATCGTGAGTCTCCCGCGGGTCGCAGGGCCCCGCACTCGCCGCTCAGCCCCGCAGGGAGGCCGCCCGTCCCGGGCCCCCGCGGGCCCCCCTCAGGGCCGCCACAAGTTTCCAAAGAAGCGCAACGTCTTCCCGGGAGTCTCCGGGGCTGCCCTGCCCTCTAGGAGTCGCAACACCAACTTCTCGGCCGCCTCCGATTTATCTCTTCTCGCACAGTCCCCTAGTCCCGAGGCCCCCTAACAAGACCTTCCGGCGTGGGAGAGAAAGAAACGACCACTCACAGCTTCACTACATTCTCCACCACAGCCGCCATCTTCCCGGCTCCTCTCCCTCAGGCCGGGAGGCCCCGGAGCCCGCAGCGCGCAGGCGCAGAGGCTGCCCAGGGCACCCGCTTCCTCTTCCCTCTGCGCAGGCGCAGCTCGAGAGCGCGCGCGCGCGCGCGCACGAGGGGGAGCGCGGGAGAACGAGCTTGGTGCGCCGCCTCCAAGGAAAAACGAGGGGAAGGTGGGGGAGCCCGTGTGCGCAGGCGCAACTGGGATAAACGCGCAACTAGAGGCGCAAGCTCGAGTCCCTCCTCCTCCCTGTAGAGCTGAGGCACGAGGGCCTGTCCTGGTGCAGAAATGAGAAGGCCAAAGGTTGGTGGAAAGCCAGGAGACCTGGGGAGAGGTGTCCTGACTCACTTGCTTTTAGTTTTGTCCTCAAAGGTGAGGAGCTAGTGGGTAGCCCAAAGTAAGAGCAGTGCCCACACAGGTGCCCATTTCTGAGGGAGAAAAGTGAACACTCAGAACTAGGCTGTTCCTTAGCCTGTCAGGATCTGACAAGAGGTACCTTACCTAGCCGGGCACGCATGACTCACACCTGTGATCCTAGCTACTCAGGAGGTTGAGATCTGAGAATTAGCTGGGGCAGGAAAGTCTCTGAAATTCTTATCCCCAATTAGCCACCAAAAAGAAGTAGGACTGTGGCTCAAGTGGTACAGCTCTAGACTTGAGCACAAAAGCTCAGGGTCAGGCCTAGAGTTCAAGCCCTAGGAACAGCACAAAAACAAATCATTGTACCACTAAATCCAGCCCTTGAACTTCACTATATCCTCCTCTTCTTGGCTTCCTACCCCTAAGGGCATTCTGGCCACAATTTCCCCAGTGCAAATTTTCTTATCTCTTCTGTACCCTGCATTTCCTTTCTATATGAAATCAAGCAAATCTGTGTGCAAATATGGTTTAATGTCCCCCTTAAAAAAATTAAAAATGGGCCGGGTGCTGGTGGCTCACGCCTGTAATCCTAGCTACTCAGGAGGCTGAGATCTGAGGATCGAGGTTCAAAGCCAGACCGGGCAGGAAAGACTGTGAGACTCCTATCTCCAATAACCCACCATAAAACCGGAAGTGGCGCTGTAGCTCAAGTGGTAGAGCACTCGCCTTGAGCTGAAGATCTGAGGAACAGCGCCCAGGCCCAGAGTTCAAGCCCCACGACCGACAAAAAAAAAATTAAAAATGGGGGCTGGGAAGGTGGCTCAGTGGTAGAGTGCTTGCCTTGCATGCCTGAGGCCCTGGGTTCGATTCCTCAGCACCACATAAAGCAAAAAACAAAAAGCCGGAAGTGTCGCTGTGGCTCAAGTGGTAGAGTGCTAGCCTTGAGCTGAAGAGCTGAGGGACAGCGCCCAGGCCCAGAGTTCAGGCCCCACGACCAGACCCCCCCCAAAAAAAATTAAAAATGTAAGCCACACTCCAGATACTCAGGCCTATAAACCTAGGTACTTAGGGAGCTGAGATCTGAAGGTCAAAGTTTAAAGTCAGAGAGGGTAGACAAATCAGTGTGACTCTTTTCTCCAATTAACCATCAAAAAGCCAGAAGTAGGACTGGGAATGTTGCTCAGTGGTAGAGTGCTTGCCTTGCATGTATGAGGCCCTGGGTTCAATTCCTCAGCACCAAATAAGCAGAAAAAGCTGGAAGTAGAGCAGTGGCTCAAATGGTAGAGCGCTAGCCTTGAGCTGAAGAGCTGAGGGGACAGTGCCCAGGCCCAGAGTTCAAGCCCCATGGCCAACCAAAAAAAAAAAAGGAAAGAAAAGAAAGAAAAAGCAATGACAAATATAGCTAAATAATAGCTATTCAACACACTGAGCCAGCATAGCAACCAGGATCTAGTGTCTTATAAACAGGAGCCAAGGAGCAGGAGTGGAGGGGCACTCTTATAATCTAAAATAATGACTCTTGGGGGCTGGGAAGGTGGCTCAGCGGTAGAGCGCTTGCCTTTCATGCCTGAGGCCCTGGGTTGGATTCCTCAGCACCACATAAGCAAAAAGAAAAAAGCCGGGGGCTGGGATGTAGCTCAGTGGCAAAGTGTTTGCCTAGCAAGTGCAACGTCCTGGGTTCGATCCCCAGTACCAAAAAAGAAAAGACAAAAAAAAAATACAGTTTAAAAAAAAAAGAAAAGAAAAAAGCTGGAAATGGTGCTGTGGCTCAAGTGGTAGAGCGCTAGCCTTGAACTGAAGAGGTGAGGCCCAGAGTTCAGGCCCCACGACCAGACCCAAAAATAAATAAATTAAATAAAATAAAAATAATGACTTGCGAAATGTGTTCTGTTTCTGCATCTCTGGGCTCTGGCTTTAGACTCCAAAGGAGAAATTCTTCCACCAGGGGGCACAAGAGAGGTTTCTGTAAATCATGAGATGAGATTTGGTTATGGTCCATTTTTTGCTCTACATGCATTTAGGGGCTGAGAGAATTATAAATGAAAGTTAGTGAATCCTCTGAGATGTTCCTACTTAATATTACATTCAGGTAGTTAGGCCAGGAAGACTACTGATTAGGTGTTTGATTCTAGTCTCCCACTTTAAGACAAACTAAAACAGAAAGTGAAAATGAAAATCTTAAAATCATTGCAAAGCTAGAACTAATTACTAGGCCAACATTTAGGATCTAAAATCCAGAGTAATCCCAGAATTCAATACAGTTTTTATCCTGGGAATATTTGTTGATCTGGAAGATCCAGTAACTGTGAAAGTAAACTGTTGTTTGTCAGTTTTTATGGGGAGGAACAGAAATTAAAATCCAAGACTTGCCCACAATTAGAAATCAGATACTTCACCACTGAGCACTTGTATACTTTAATATAGACCTCAACTTTTATGGACTTGAAACCCAAAATCCTATTATCTGAATTGAGCAGGAAAAGTCAAATGTGAAAGTTGGACTAAGGTGGACCCATCAGGAAAATCAATGAGTCTGGAAGCCATCCTATTAAATGAAGGAAACCAGGTTCACAAGGACAAATGGTCAGGTTTTCTCATAATGTGGATGTTAGACCTAAAATATAAGCATGCATAAACACATACAGGATCATGCATGTCTGTGTGTGTATGAAAGGGGGTATGCATGAGATACCATGGTGAAACCTGTTGGAACAATTAACATGTACTTAACAAAAATGACACACACAAAAAAAGACCAGGCACCAGTAATCCTAGCTACTTAGGAGGCTGAGATCTAGCTGTGATTCAAGTGGTAGAACATTAGATTTGAGCAAAAAACTCAGGGACAGTATCCAGTACCTGAGTTCAAATCCCAGGACAAGCACACCCAAACGTGCATGTGTGAGCACATATACACAAAAACTAGAAGAGCCAGGCACCGGTGGCTCATACCTGTAATCCTAGCTAATCAGGAGGCTGAGATCTGAGGACCACGGTCCAAAGCCAGCCTGGGCAGGATAGGCCATGAGACTTATCTACAATAAAGCACCAGAAAACTGGAAGTGGCACTGTGGCTCAAGTGGTAGAGTGCTAGCTTTGAGCTGAAGAGCTGAGGGACAGTGCCCAGGCCCAGAGTTCAAGCCCCATGACTGACCAAAAAAAAAAAAAAGCTAGAAGAAATTTTATTTATTTATTTATTGTCATGGGGCTTGAACTCAGTGTCTAGGCCCTGTCCCTGAGCTCTTTTGTTCACAGCACTGTACCACCTGAGACACAGCTCTATTTCCAGGTTTTGAGTGGTTAACTGGAGATAAGAGTCTCGCAGACCTTCCTGCTCAGGCTGGCTTCAAACCGTGATCCTCAGATCTCAGCCTCCTAGTAACTGTGATAATAGGCGTGGGCCACCGGCACCTGACTAAGAAATGTTGAATATTTAAGAAAATAGATGTTTATCCTGATTTGAACACATAGAATTTATACCCATATTGAAACGTGGTACTCTATAAATATACACAATTTTTCTATGTGAAAAATAAACAGTGGAAATACATGCTAATATAAATATATCCAATTTTTCTATGTGAAAAATAAATAAAACACTTAGTGGAAATACATGCTAAAATATTTGGTGTACAGTAGTATGACATCTACAGTTTATTTCCAAAAGATCAAGAAAAAAATGGTGTTTTTGTTTTTGTTTTTGCTGTTGGTCGTGGGGCTTAAACTCTGGGCCTTAAACTCTGGGCCTGGGGGCTGTCCCTCAGCTCTTCAGCTCAAGGCTAGAGCTCTACCACTTGAGCTACAGCACCACTTCCAGTTTTCTGGTGGTTAATTGGAGATAAGAATCTCATGGACTTTCCTGCCTGGGCTGGCTTTGAATCATGATCCTCAAATCTCAGCCTCCTGAGTAGCTAGGATTATAGGCAATAGCCACCTGTGCCTGGCTTTTTTGTTTGTTTTTAAAGCTAACACTGGCTTAACATCAGGGCCTCTTGCTGTCACTCAGCCGTTTCCTTCACAACTGGAAATCTACCATTTCAGTTCTTACTTTTTGCAGGCTAATTAGAAATAAGAGTCCTGGGATTTGTGTACAAAGCTGGCTTTGAATCATGATTCTCAGATCTCAGCTTCCTGAGTAGCTAGGATTTTAGGCATGAACCACCAGCACCCAGCAAGGTTTTTTGGTGCAAAAAGGTAAACAAAGAAGCTAGAAAACTAAAAACAAACAAGATGTGGATGGAAGGGAAACAATATGAGTTGAGTAGTAAATTGATTTAAATTCTTCTTCTTTGCCTCTACTCCTGTGTACAGTATATGTTGGTGGAAATTTTTTTTTTTTGGGTCCGGTTGTGGGGCCTGAACTCTGGGCCTGGGCACTGTCCCTCAGCTCTTCAGCTCAAGGCTAGCGCTTTACCACTTGAGCTATGGAGCCATTTCTGGCTTTTTCTGCTTATGCGGTGCTGAGGAATCGAACCCAGGGCCTCTGGCATGCAAGGCAAGCGCTCTACCACTCAGCCACCTTCCCAGCCCTGTTGGTGGAAATTTTATAACATAGTTCATAGGTTGCAAAATATTAAGGTGAGCAGGTGAGAGAATGACAGGAAGAATGGATAGAAGTCCTGGAATGGAGGTGATATTAAGACTTTGAATTGTCTCCCTTTGCAAAGAGTGAATGAGTGTGTGTGTGTGTGTGTGTGTGTGTGTGTGTTTTGCTGGGGTCCAAGCTCAGGGTCTTGCACATACCAGGTAAGTAATCTACTCATGATCTACAACGCCAATGACCTTTCTAAAATATTTGCATGTGGCTGCATGTCTCTCTGCTCCAAATTCTTCAGCAGCTTCTCATTGTGTGAGCTTCAGCCTTGTAAGCACGAGTTAGATGTTAACTGACATCAGCTTGTATTCCAACCTGACAGTTCCACCTGAATCCTGAATTTTTTGTTTTGTTTGGTTTTCGTTTTGGTCAGTTGTAGGGCTTGAACTCATGGCCTGGGTGCTGTCCCTAAGCTCTTTTTGCTTAGGGCTAGCTAGGGCACTACCACTTTAAGCCATAGCGCCATGTCTGGTTAATCTGGTGGTTCATTGGAGATGAGCCTCACAAACTTTCCTATCTGGGCTGGCTTTTAACTATGATCTTTAGATCTCAGCTTCCTGAGTAGCTAGGATTACAGGGGTGAGCCACCAGTGCCAGGCCCCTATGCAGTTTGGCTCAAGGCTGGCACTCTGCCACTTTGAGCCACAGCTCCACCTCTGATTTTCTGGTGGCTAACTGAAGATAGGAGTCTTACATGGGCTGGGAAGGTGGCTCAGCGATAGAGTGCTTGCCTTGCATGCATGAGGCCCTGGGTTTGATTCCTCAGCACCACATAAACAAAAAAAGCTGGAAGTGGTGCTGTGGTTCAAGTGCTAGAGCACTAGCCTTGAGCTGAAGAGCTCAGGGACAACGCCCAGGCCTAGAGTTCAAGCCCCACGACCGACCAAAAAAAAAAAAGTCTTACAGACTTTCCTGCCCAGGCTAGTTTTAAACCGTGATCCTCAGACCATATCCTCCTGTGTAGCTAGAATAACAGGTATACCAACAGGGCCTGGCCTGAGTTATTTTGTTACAAATCACAATTGGTTTTGTTTGTTTTCTGACGCTTGCGCTTGAACTGAGATGGGAACTATCTCTGAATTTCTTTCTTTTTTTTGTTTTGTTTTGTTGGTCATGGGCCTGAATTCTGGGCCTGGGGGCTGTCCCTCAGCTGTTCAGCTCAAGGCTTGCGCTCTACCACTTGAGCCACAGCGCCACTTCCAACTTTTTCTGCTTATGTGATACTGAGGAATCGAACCCAGGGCCTCATGCATGCAAGGCAAGCACTCTACTGAGTCACCTTGCCAGCCCTATCTCTGAATTTCTTTTGCTCAGGGTTAGCTCGACCACGAGCCAGAGCTCTACTTCTAGTCTTTTTAGAGTAGTTTATTGGAGTTAAGATTCTCATAGGTTTTCCTGCCTGGGCTGGTTTTGAACCATAATCAGATCTCAGCCTCCTGAGTAGCTAGGACTACAGACGCAAGCTACCAGCACCCAGCATAATCATTTTTCAATCTTCCATGCAGACATGAATCCAAGTTGCCCCTAATGTTTTTTTTCAATCATCCTGCAAGGTAGGTTAGCGATGGGAAAGTGAGTCTCACATGGCTGGGTACAGCTCAGAGGTCCATTTCATCTGCCCCGTGATGGCTCCTCTGCCATTCAGTCAGTTCCTTGGCTTATGCATTGAGCACAGGCCTGTGAGCTCAGGTCTGGCTCAGACTCACGTCTGCCACCCCATTGAGTACAGGCCCATGTGGGGGCAACTCTGCCTCAGGCATTTGTTCCCAGTCACATTTCCTCCCTAGCATTTGTCATGTTAGCGATTGCTCTTCCTTGTTCCCAGTTAATACCCTAGACCCCGTCACCCTGTCAGCTCCAAGGAGCATAGGCCACCTATGCCTTCTGTCCCCCTGGAGCCACACACTGAGGAGACTGTAGATGCTCACTAAACAGCACCCATGGGGCAGCCCGCTGATCAGTGTTCTTTCCATCCCTACTCATCTTTCTTCCTGAGTGCTCCCTCCCTCGCTCCTCTGAAGCTGGAGACACTGTTGGTCCCCTATACATGGCCCGTGGTTGCTCTTTTACTCTTGGATTTCCCCTCGTAAAGCCCAGTCACCTGAGCAGACTCGGGACATTAGTTCAGCCACTTCTTGCTGCACACCGGAATCCATGTCCAAATAATCCAGGATTGACATTTTATTTCTCACCATGGGCTGACAATCAAGTTCAGCCCTTCCGAGAACAAGACCTTCCCCTCACCAAGCCCTACAGAAAAAGTCTCCCTCACAGGTATCTCTGGCTCATGGAGACTGACTGACCTTTGGGAAAGAAACCTGGGACAAAGGCACAGGGTCCTCAGCCACCACAGCAGCAGCAGCAACCATGTTTTATTGCAACCAGAATCCCCTGGTCATGTAAAGAAGGGATGGGGCAGAGCATGACGCAGGACAGATGTGTCGCTGAGGCCATGCTCCCAGTCTGGAAAACAAAGCCAGAGAACAGGAAATGCCTACCCTTCAATCAGCCCCATGCGTGCTTCAAGGCAGAGTTCCATTTCAGCAGAGCTTTTCCCCTAGGGACTCGTAGGAAGGGCAGGGCCCGCTGGCCCGAGATGCTCAGGGCACTGTGGACCAACATTTACGTGTGTCCTTGGTGGATTGATCAGGAAGAGTGTGGAGACCCAGTGTGCCCATGGGGAAAAGAAGGGAGGGAAACTGCTCAAAATGAGAATCACTGGCCAATGCTCACAGATGGGACCTGGGATCCTCACTGCTAGGCCAGGCCCGGGTCTACCCCCTGTCTCCAGATGTCATCCCAGCCTGGGTACCCTTGCCTGCTCCGCCTACTGTCCTATGTGGGAATCTGCACATGGTCCAGTTCCTGATCCATGATCTGAAGGACGTCATCCAATATAGAGGGCCCCAGGTCCACGTGCAAGGACAGCAGGGAGCTGGCCTGAGACAGGAAGGGCTCTTCAGCCCCCGACTCCGGGGTGAGCCCATTGTGGGGAGAGCTAGCCTCCGGAATCCTCCAGATGTCCACACTTCCTGCCTCCTGTGGGGAAGACTGAGGCGTCTCCAGGTGCAGGCGAGGGGGCTTGGGCGGCGCCTGCGCTGTGGGCAGCGTGAGGGCCTGGGGCCCGCCGATGACCGGGAGGGAGATGGCGTTCTTGAGCAGCGGCGATGGCCCGTCAGGGTGCTCCCTCCCACACAGCGTGGCTGTGCGGGTGAACTGGAAAGGGAGGTCGAAGCTGCCATCCTCCTCCGACTCCTCCACCGCTGTTCCTGGCAGAAGGTGGAACTTGCCTTGCAGGAAGGAGATGTCCCCAAACATGTCATCTCCGCCACCACTGCCAATATGGATGGTGTGGCGGAAGTCCCCGAGCGGCGGGCTGATCATGTCGGAGGACAGCAGGTCCCGCAGCTTCTCCTTCTTGCCCTTGCGACTGCTGCGCTTCAGATAGATGGGGACCTTGGTGGACATGGCCACTTTAGCACTCAGGCCTGGCTGCGCAGCCCACGGCCCAAAGCAATGGCTCCAGAGGATGGTTGTTCAGACACCAACACTGGCCAGAGGGCTAAAGCCTGGGGTGTGGGATGTTCACCCAAGGAATTACAAAAAAGAAGATGAACGGCCAGCGAGGTTGCGGGGTGGAGGAGAGGGGTTGAGTGACAAAAGTCAATTTCTCCCCCAAGCGTTGACAATTCTCTGGAAATAGGAGGCCTGAACGTGGAGATCTTGTCTGAAGCGATGCACTTGGTCTTGTCTCCAAGATTCCCTCCTGATCCAGGACTGAGGGGCTGAAACACAAAGGGGACATAACAAGTTAGGGACAGGAGAAACAAAGCCAGAAACTGTCATCTTGTTTCTGGTCCCTATGCATCACTCCTGAAACCCAGCTGTGGCCACTGTTATTGAGGAGAGATTGCTGGAAGCATGTCCAGTCTATCTCCATATATGTATACATATATATACACATATATATGTGTGTATATATATATATATATATATATATTTAATACTAGGGACTGAACCCAAGTTCTCAACCACTGAACCATGCCCCCAAGTCTGTGTGTGTATTTTTGAGACAGAGTCTTGCTAACTTTGCCCAGACTTGTCTTGGGCTTGAGATCCACCTACCTCTGACTCTACATATCTGAGACTCCAAGTGTGAACCACCATGCCCAACTCAGAAGCATGTCATCATAGATCAGCAAGGTCTTACAGAGTAGACTACAAGTGCCAAGCCCTTCACTTTTTTTTTTTTTTTCTCTTGTCCTTTGTGGGGCCTGAACTCTGAGCCTGGGCGCTGTCCCTTAACTCTTCAGCTTAAGGCTAGTGCTCTACCACTTGAGCCACAGCACTACTTCCTTTTTTCTGGTGGTTTATTGGAGATATGAGTCTCACTGACTTTCTTACCCAGGTTGGCTTTGAACCGTGATCCTCAGCCTCCTAAGTAGTTAGGATTACAGGCGTGAGCCACCAGTGCCCAGCCCCTTCACTTTATAGGAGGGGAATGGAGACATGGAATCAGAGTAACAGGCCAGAAGTCTCTTGCTCTTGGTTCCTGGCTCCACTCATCATCCTCATCCAAATACTCACTCCCTAGCCTGACCCGTGCTGCACACTGGTTGTTTCTGACACGATTACATTGGGTGGGGTGGGGTGGGGGTCTTCACCTCTGATTTCAATTTCCTTCTCAGCTGAGGACAGAGGAAACTGTCTCCCACCCAGGCCAAGCCTGGCATAGGCTGAGGGTGCAGAAAGGTGTTCGGCCAATAGGGCTGAATGAGTGGCATCTTGCACTGGGTGAGATCACCTAGGACTTTCCCTTTTCTCCTCCCAGAGGTGAAGAACTTATGGGCAGTAGCTGAGTCTAATTCTGTCTCTGTCCCTCTCCCTTGCCCCAGCATCGAAAGGGAAGGTAGAGTGGAGAGTGCAAATCTTTTCTTTTGTTTAGACGTTCATAACCTCAACTTTTTGGGTGTTTTTGAGGTCTTAGGGGTTGAACCCAGGACCTCCTGCATACCGGACAAGCTTTCTAGCACTGTCCTCTGCCATCGACCTCTTAATGATAACCATGTAATATTTATATGCTCATGTTTATGAGTCAGAAAAAAAAATCTAGCCAGGTGCCGGTAGTTCATACCTGTAATCCTAACTACTCAGGAGGCTTGAGATCTGAGGGTCGAGGTTCAAAGCCAGCCCAGGCAGGAAAGTCCTTGAGACTCTTATCTCCAATAAACCATTCAGAAAACTGGAAATGGTGCTGTGGCTCAAGTGGTAGAG